GCTATTCAGAACGCGGCGTTGCAAATAGCACGGGAGCTATTCAGAACGCGGCGTTGCAAATAGCACGGGAGCTATTCAGAACGCGGCGTTGCAAATAGTGCTAACCAAAAAAAACCCGAAGTGACTATTTCTCAGAACGTTCGGAGAAATAGTGCCGATCTTTATTTCTCCGAACTGTTTCCGGCTTCCGGTCTCGTGATTTTTTGCCTATTTATTGCGAGAGTTCGGCGCCAACTTTCATTCTGCCTCTGATCTGGGAAGGAACACCGCATGACAAGCCCGCCTACAGACAACCTTCAGTAACACCCACCACACACACACCACCATCATGCACATGTACACACACTAACTAAACATAACCAGTGGGCAACTTTTGAACGTATGACGAACTGAGCTGTGGATGGAGAGACAGTGTGAGTGAAAGAGCGGGTGAAAGGAAGAATGTGCGAGAGTGTCCACAGGCGACAGCAACTACAAGACGACGACACCGACCCCTCTGGCCTGGTCCACAGCTCACGAAAGAAAGGAATGCAGCTCAGGCAGTGTTTTGCCTATATTATTGTCCATGGTTCGCAGGGTGCAAGGGAATGAGTGAGATTTTCTTTGTGTGTGCCTGGAGGGAGGGGATGGGGTATGAAAGTCATGCGGACAGGGATGAGCCGCGGGAGAGAACATGGGAATTGAATGAATGAGTGAAACTGAAAGAGACGAATAACTCATGAGCCCTGGAGTGAATGGATCCTGTGTTTCTATTTTGTATACTTTGAACTGTTACTGAATAAAGGCTGAAATAAAGCCTAAAAAACAAACACACACACACACACTCCTCACTCTCCACTTACTACCACACACAGACACACTCACACATGCACACACACACACACACACACACACACACACACAGGAGCAAATTTTTGGGTCTATATATATCTATTTCAATTTTCAAGAGCTAGTCTAGAGATTTTTAGATGAGTGTAAAAACGTGAAAAAGAAAGGTTTCACAACAGAAAGAAATCAAAATTAGAACAGCCCATAAACAACAATAAACATTAAAAAATAAGGGCGAGTGTCCACCTGTCCGAAGAAGATCGGCTGTTTTAACCCTAAATGTGCGTAATTTTTTTTAAAAAGTACAGGATATTACATGTAAATTATGGAATCATACACATTAAGGGGCTTTGCCAGTGTCAGTACATTGGTCGCAGCAGTTCTATGTGTCGTTATCAATAACCCTCCGTAGATCTAGATCTAGATCTAGACAGCACACGAGTGAACACAACACATTACGTTTAAGAGCAGTACCCTTCATAGGCAACACGCCATATTATATCTGTAGCGAAAAACTGTCTGGAACTGTAGCATTTCTTTATATAAATATTTACTGAGGACATTTTTTGGACCGCTTGAACCATATTGTATACGAACAATCTTTGGTAGGCCCATACTATAATTAAAGATCTATATAATATCCGAATTTTGCGAGAAAGGATGAGATTTCAGAGTGTTCGGAGAAATAGTGCCCAGCTTTATTTTCCCGAACGTTCGGAGAAATAGTGCCTAGCTTTATTTTCCCGAACGTTCGGAGAAATAGTGCCCATCTTTATTTTCCCGAACGTTCGGAGAAATAGTGCCTAGCTTTATTTTCCCGAACGTTCGGAGTAATAGTGCCGGCCAAAAAAAAACATAAAAGATTTTGCTTATCTACCATTCCGAGTTCTATACACAGCTTTTAGATCTAGATTCTAGATCGAGAATATAAATCTAGAATATGTTAGAAGCAGGTATTTCAGGAAGACAAATTAAACACAGAAGTAAGAGACAGCAGACTGAGTAGTGTAGTGTAGAAGACAGTACAATACAATGACAGTCTCAGCGAGGCTGAAAAAATCTGAAGCCTTAAAGTATTATTATATATTTTAAAACGAAAAAATTAAATATACTCTTGTTTAACTTCGGCTAGATCTACTAGATCTAGATAATATCTAGATCTACATCTAGACTCTAGATCTAGTCATAAATCCAGTCCAATTAATTAGCAATTCTGAAATTCAGTGCAGCTATTTCAAAGGGCTGTTGAAAAGGGAAGTGGTTATTTGTGAGAAACCTATGTCTCCTTGCTATTCTCACCCCTTCGTTTTACCAGAAATAACCCTAGAGGGATATCAGGGCTGAGATTACCGGAATTACTTAGGCTTAGGGGGGGTGTCAGGGCTGATGCTCCTCAGGATCGTGTAACAGTTAAGGTTGTCAGTTTAGAGCCAAATCCTAGAAATTTGGCTCTTTTGGATCACGTCTGGCCCGTAGAATTTCATTTGGCTCTCTGGGTCTTTTTTGGCTCCAAACTCCAAATGTTCAAGAAGAAGGGGAAAGGAGAAAGGAGAGGCAAGAACAAAAGAAAGAATATAGAAGAAAAAAATGAAAGTGAAGAAAAGTTAATTTATAATGATTAAACTATTTTAAGAAGATTTAATGCCCAGACCCATTTGGTCTGAATAATTTACAACCCTTCTACCGCCGTGCAAGAGCATAGTCTCGTGCTCGTGTCTCGTTACGGTCGGTACAGGCTCTCTGTTCCTTGAACCACATTTCGTTGTGTGCAGGCAAGAGGCCTGCGATGCCATCGTTAAGTGTGTAAACAGCGAAGGGTGCGGCCGGTCTCACATCCGGGGCAGTAGCGTCGGTAGTGAGACATGTTTTTACTGGAGAGGCGAAAAATGTTTTTATATTATTATTATTCTGTTTGTTGTTCATTAAAGATTTAATTAAGCAAAGATCTGGTTAAGATGATCCTATTATTATATCTGTTTCAAAAGTCTGCATCGTAATTTTCAATATCCATATCCGAACTTTTATTCTGTAAGAGCGCTCCTTAGTTTCGTAGAATGGAACGCTTGAAGCAGGCCGAACCGCGGTCCAACTATTACATTAAAAAAATATAGATCAACACCACTGTCAATGTCCAGGGTGTTGAGGGGGGGGGGGGGGCAGGGGGGTGAGAATAGCGGATCATGGGTTATTCTCACCAGGGGTGAGAATATAGGTAGCCGTTGAAAAGACATGAGACGAGATCAAGGTTTAAATTAGTTCTGTATATGATTTATTTATGTTTGGTATTTTTACAGTTAAGTGTATGGTTTAGTAGCTTTCCACAATAGACGCTTCTAAAAGTAATGGCAAGTACTACTATCATGTTCATGTTCACCACTATGCATGCTCAATGGCAATTATTTTCATTGGACGATTCTCAGCTGAGCATAGTACAGTGTGTTGTAGTAAGTTAATTAGTGTAGACCCATATTCTGATCCTATAAATAATATTAATAACGAAGTGTATACAGACCCGGTAACCGGGAACAAAGTCACAAAGTATACAGACCCGATAGGGGAACTCTTTTGTGATTTCGGAGGGTTTCAGCACCCAGACCCGGTATTGTGTGTGTGTGTGTGTGTGTGTGTGTGTGTGTGTGTGTGAGTTAAAGAGAGAGAGAGAGAGAGAGAGAGAGAGCGCGCAGGGGGAAGTGCTAGCAAAATGTATATAATATGACATGTCTGCCAGTTGGCAGGAAGGAACGAAAGACAGAGACAAACAAAGAAAAAAAGAATGCGAGCGATACAGAGAGAGAGAGAGAGAGAGAGAGACTGTTCGATTGAAATTATGACATTGTTCTTTTCTTCAAATTGTGATTCCTCTAACTCCAAAACAGGGGAAAAACGATCGTTCATCGAAAAGACATCCGCAATCTTCATTTAGTTTTAGATCTAGAATCTAGATCTAGATCTACAGTCTAGATCTAGGCTAGCCTCGAAACTAGATCAATGATTTATATCTGTCTGTCTAGATCTAGACCTAGGCCATAGATCTAGAAGAACCTAGTTCTACCCTGAGCCAAGAGGGTGCTGAAAGTTTCCGAAATCACAAAAGAGTTCCCCTACCGGGTCTGTATACTTTGTGACTTTCTTCCCGGTTACCGGGTCTGTATACACTCCCTATTAATAATGACAAACTAACTATTAAGGTAGTACCCCCAGTGGGTCGGGGGGATATAAATAGACCCACTGCTCCGCCAGCAGGAGGTGCAACCCCTCCACTGGCGATTTGTCGCCCATGGACATCTACGCTCGGGTGCACATGGGCGACACTTACTTTGGTGTATCGTCTGTCTTCTATCGTCTTTCTTCCTTCTTCTTTCGTCCTTCCCCGAGCTGACCGGGGAATAAAATAAAAATAGTTGGCTGTCCCATCGACAGGGGGTGTAACCCCCCCACTGGTGGGATGCCACTCGTACGTCACTAGCTCTCTGACGTAGGGGTGGCATCTTTTGTCCGCTCTTGCTATGTCTTCTATCCATCTATCTTTCTTTCCGTTCTGTCGACCGAAGGTCCGGTCCAGCAAAGAATAGACCCCAAATTACCCCCAGTGGGTCGGAGGGATATAAATAGACCCACTGCTTCGTTAGCAGGAGGTGCAACCCCTTCAAAAACGAGGTGTCGCGCACGGACCCCAACCCTCTGGGACCCGGATGCGACACCTACTTTGGTGTATCTTCCTCTTCTCCTTCCTTCTTTCTTTCTTCTTCTATCTTTTCCCCCACAGCTGACCTCATGTGCAGCAAAAAAGAGAGGTCACCCATCCCACAGAGTGGGCGCCTTGTCGACCGTGAGGTGCGACCCGTGCGGAGGGAAACCGGGCACCTGGCGGTTGAGGTGAGATCAGTCCACGGACTGTCCCTCACCAACACACCTCTTTGGCCCAGGTTTTCCTCTTAGACGGGAGGGTGGCACGGCCCATGCCACTCAATCGGTTGGGAGCTGAAACCCATTCAGACCCTGGGTCAATCTTGACGGGAGGGTCTTGCACACTCTCGGAAAGAGTATAACTCCGGGGTAGCCCTGGCACGGCTCTGGCTATCCGAGCAATGTGCCCCCTTGTTGGGCTCGATGGCGGGTGGGGAGCCCCGGAGCTGAACCAACATCACACATCATATGGATTCCAAACAAACAAAAGACCCTTCCCCAGCTCCCAACGGAAAGAAGTCTCGGTTCGCGGAAGCGGGTGCGGCCGCCGGACCGAGCAAACTATCATCAACCTCCACAGGTAAAAGGACCTTTACGGACGCCTCTTTTCTCCCTTCTCCCGGGGAGCTTCTGAGGCAACCGTACTTGACCATCTGCAGCACCGATGCGCAGAAGAAAATTACAGATCTTAACCTGTTTAAGACAGGAGAAGCACTAAGACAAGTTCTAGGGTACATTCCAACGAATGTTCAGAAACTGTCCTCTGGTGCTCTCCTCGTCAAATGCGCATCGGAAAAAGAACTGGCCAAAATGGAAAAAATCACGACCTTCGGCGGTGTTCCTTGTGTATCCGAGCGACACCAGAAATTCAACCGATCGAAAGGCGTGGTCCGCAGCCATGAGCTGAAGGGCTGCTCCAACGAGGAAATTGTGGCAAATTGCGAAGGTGTGGTCGAAGCCCGCCGGATTACTCTTCGGCGGGGGGAGACCACACTCGAAACGAACACGATCATTCTAACTTTCGATTCGTGTCGCCCTCCAGCCACCGTTCGGGCATCTTACTTGGTACTCGAAGTACGACCCTATGTGCCGAACCCTCTGCGCTGTTTCAAGTGTCAGAAGTTCGGCCATAGCCAGTCACGATGCCGTCACGCAGCCGTGTGTCCTCGTTGTGGCAAGACCGGGCATCCTGAGAAGGAATGCAAGGCTAGTCCTTGTTGCCCCAATTGCCACGGCCAGCACACAGCTTTCAGCAAGGAGTGCCCGACTTGGCTCCAAGAACGCGCAATACAAGAACACAAGGCGCGAAATGGCTGTTCCTTCAAGGAGGCCCGTAAAGCTGTCTGTCCGCCAGTCGTGACCCCGGTCCCTGGCCGGACATATGCGAAAGTACTCCGGCCTGTCATGAAGTCGATCAGTACCTCCACTGCCGACTTCCCACAGCCGGCAATCGACAAGCGAATCTCTATAAAGTCAAAGAAGGTCCTTTCTACCCCTGTGGTACCCACCTTTGAGGTGCCTCTTTCTAACCGCTATGGGGCTCTAGGGGAGGATGGGGAGGACTCTTCCTCCACCCCCTCTTCTACCCCTCACCCCTCTTCTATCACTTTTTCTTCTTCTTCTTCTGTTTCTTCTTCTTCCACCCCACAGCCCATCCCTCTGATGGAGTGTGAGGTGAACCCTCCCCCCCCTTCCCAGCCCCCTCGGTCTGCTCCACCTCCCCCTACCCCTCCAGCAGACAAACCCCTGCCTATGGAGGAAGACATCTCCGACCCCCCTCCCCGGCCTGAACCCGGGAAGGGCGGAGTCTGTCACTCCTCCAAATCCCCCACTAGACCGCCGTCCAATCCAGGACGGCAACCTAGAAAACACTCTGCCTCCCCCGTAAGGAGGAGTCAGAGTGCTTCTTCGAAGCCGGGGCCTAAGTGCTCCAAATCAAAAAGTAAAAATTCATAATGGCGGTCCTGCAATGGAATGCCGGCGGAATCCGACCTTCCATTGCAGAATTGCAACATTTACAGGCCACACTGTGCCCACGGGTGGCCTGTATTCAAGAAACAAAATTCGCCCCGGCTTCAACCATAGACTTAAGAGGATTTATTGCGTACCATCACATTCACACGGAGAACCAGATTGCTTCCGGTGGTACCACCATCTACACCGACAACCACACACTCCACAGACAAGTACATCTTAAGACGACCCTCCAGGCTATTGCCGTACGGGTCACCCTGCACAGACCAATCACGATCTGCTCAGTTTACATCCCACCAAATTACCCCCTCAAAATAACCCAACTAAATGAATTAAAGTCCCAGCTCCCAAAACCCTTTATTTTACTAGGTGATTTCAATGCCCACAGCCCCCTTTGGGGAGACAAACCTATAGACCAGAAAGGTAAAATAATAGAAAACTTTTTATTTCAAAATAACATCTGTCTCTTAAATGATAAATCCCCAACTTTCAGAAACAGAGCCACTTATGGCACTTCATCCCTTGACCTTACTTTTTGTACCCCTGAACTAGTCCCAGATCTTGAGTGGTCTGTGCTGGATGACCGTACGGACCATTTCCCAATTCTCCTCAAAAACAATAGCCTCCAAAACGACCCGATCCCAGAACGCTTCAACTTCAAAAAAGCCGACTGGGACGGGTTTGCCAATCAATGTTCCAAGATTCTTAATCCCAATTTCGACCACAACTACAATAAATTTCACGAAAAACTCTTAGAAATATGCCACAATCACATTCCAAAAACAAAAACAAAACCCCGGAGGAACAAGGTCTGGTTCTCTTGGGAATGTGAGGACGCAGTAAAGAAAAAGAAGGCAGCGTATCGAAGAGCCGTCAACAACACCACCATAGAAAATAAGATACTTTATTTAAAGGCTCGAGCTGAGGCACGTAGATGCCTCAGGGAGAGCAAAAGACAATCATTCCAAAAATACATCTCCAAAATCAACAGCCAGACACCACTCAATCAAGTTTTCCAAATTGCTAAAAAATTCTCAGGTAGACGCACAGACACCATTCGGCACGTCCAGAGGCCGGATGGAACAACAGCTGAAACACAAGTAGACATTGCAAACACAATAGCTACATCTCTAGCCAAAAACTCATCCCAAGCAAACTACAACACCACTTTTCAAAACGTCAAAACTAACAGAGAAAAACAACACCTAAACTTCCACTCAAACAACACTGAAACCTACAACGCAGACTTCACAATAGACGAATTAACATCGTGCATCTCGGACCTGGGCGATACAGCCCCGGGACCGGATGACATCCACAACAAGATCATTAGACACTTACCCTCAGAAACACTCACACTCATACTACACATATACAACGACATGTGGCGGTCGCACTCCTTTCCGGAGTCTTGGCGTCTCGCCACTGTCATTCCAATACCCAAACCAAACAAAGACCACACACACCCATCCAATTACAGACCTATAGCCCTAACGAGCTGTCTCTGCAAACTAATTGAAAAAATGATTCACAGGCGACTCATGTGGTTTCTGGAAACGACGGGCTCGCTGAGCGGTCTCCAGTGCGGATTCAGGAAAACCCGATCCACTCTGGATCACCTGGTCCGCCTGGAGACCTTTATACGCGAGACGTTCGCCGAAAGAGGCCACATGATCGCCATCTTTTTTGACCTAGAAAAAGCCTTCGACACAACCTGGAAGTACGGCATTCTTCAAGACCTGCACGCACTCGGCATACGCGGTCACCTCCCTGCCTTCATTGGCAACTTCCTGAAGAACCGTTCCTTCCAGGTTCGTGTCGGATCCTCCCTTTCAGACCCCCACCAACAGGAGGAAGGAGTCCCCCAGGGGAGCATCCTTTCTCCTCTCCTTTTCGAAATTAAAATTAACTCCATAGTGAAAACCCTCCAGAACAGCATAGACAGCTCGTTATACGTTGACGACTTCTTGATATGCTGCCGATCGAAAAATCCTCATTTGAGATCTATGGAAAGGCAGCTGCAAACGCAGCTGCAAAAACTTGAAACGTGGGCAAACAACAACGGTTTCAAGTTCTCCCCGTCAAAGACGGTTGCAGTACACTTCTGCCGAACAGGCAGACGTGTGCTGCAGCCGGATTTGACACTATACGGGGAAAGGATTCCCGTCCAGGACCAAGCTCGTTTCCTCGGTGTCATTTTTGACAAAAAACTTACATTCACACCACACATCAAAGACCTTCGTGTGAGGTGCCAGAAAGCGTTAAACGCTTTGAAAATTCTATCACATCCGGAGTGGGGCGGGGACTCAAAACACCTTCTCCACTTGTACATCTCCCTTGTCCGGTCCAGGCTTGACTACGGCTGTCAAGTCTACGGATCGGCAAAACCACACGTCTTAAAAATACTAGATCCAATACAGAACCAAGGACTCCGCCTCGCTCTGGGGGCTTTCCGCACTTCTCCGGTGGAGAGCCTACAGGCCGAGGCCAACATTCCACCACTCTCACTCAGACGCACACAACTCTCACTACAATACGCAGTTAAACAGAGCTCAACACCGGAAAATCCAGCGCACAACAGCATTTTTCAAACAAATCCAGAAACCAGAAACAGATTCCAAAACAACGAAAAACTCATCAAACCTTTCGGCCTCAGAATCCTCGAGGACCTCAAAAACTTACACTTTTCCAAACAAGACATCCAACAAATTCTTTTCCCCGACCTCCCTCCGTGGCACCTCACCAAGGCAAAAGTAGATTTACAGCTGACCACACACAACAAAGAAAGCACAAACACCAAAACTTTTCAAGCAGAATACAAAAAACTAATAGATAAATACCCCGGTGCGGAGCTCATCTTCACGGATGGCTCCAAAAAAGACAATGAAGTGGGCGCCGCAGCCCTATCTCCCAACAATACACACCAGAGGAGACTCCATCCTGAAGCCTCCATTTTCACTGCGGAGGCCACTGCCATTGACATGGCACTGGACTCTGTAGAAAATTCTCCTAACAAATCTTTCCTTATCCTTTCTGACTCTCTGTCTTGCATCACCTCACTCACAAACTACACACTCTTACACCCAAAAATAGTTAGGCTACAACAGAAAATCCATACACTATCCGAAACAGGAAAAAACATCATGTTCGCATGGATCCCAAGCCATGTGGGCATCCGAGGAAACGAGCAGGTAGACGACCTGGCGAAGAAAGCCTCATCCCTTCTGCTGGGATCAACGACAAACACTCTCCCACAGACTGACTTTAGAAATAAAGTCAAAAAGTACACCTCCAGTCTGTGGGAGAGCCACTGGGAAAACCAGAAAAATAATAAATTATACGAAATTAAACCCAGACTAGAACAGCGAAATCCTTCGGATCTCTCCAGAAGAGACGAAGTCATTTTTACTCGATTGCGCATCGGACACACGGCCCTGACTCACAAATACCTCCTGCAGGGAGAGGAGAAGCCGTTCTGTGTCGGATGCGACACAGATTTTACCATTAGACACATTTTAACAGAATGTCTAGACTTTGGAGAGATCCGAAGGAAATATTATAAATGCAAGAAATTGCAGGATATTTTCTCCGTCGTTGTTCCCAGCAGAATTTTAAATTTTATAAAGGCCATTGGCCTTTATGGCAAGTTGTAAAGTGAATCTGATATTATTTAAAATTTTTATTGTTACTTAAAAGTTGTTTTAGATCACAAATGTATTTACACCGAATTTGAATATTTTAACTTTTTAGCATTTTAAAGTAAACTAGTTACCAGTCGTGAAGTGAACTTTCGCAGAGGTGAACAACTTGTGTTTCGCGCGCTCATATGACCTTAGCAGTTGCGAGCGCCGTAAAACCTTATACTACTACTACTATTAAGGTAGGCCTAATGAAAATATGGTACGGTTTTACTTTCACTCCCACACACAGGTGCACTGATTTGGGGGTCAAACTATTCACTGCAGCTAGGGTTATAAGTTATAGTGTCTAGCTCAAGGACACGCCCCAGTGATCGCCCATTCGAACCTAGTGTCACTGATACTTGCTTGATATTATTTATTTTGAGTTTAAATAATTCACTAACCACAATACTACCATATTATAGCCCCGCTTTTTTTTTCATAGCCTGCCAGTCCAATAGAGCAGTTTATAACCCCTTATGATTTTCAGGACTGTTCTCTAAGATTCTTTAACCCTCCCCCCCCCCCCCCACCCCCAACTGCAAAAGGTCATATGAGCGCCAAGGGGTGGATGTCAACAGAGAAGTCCTTACAGGGAATCAGACTTACTCTGCTCACGTCTCTAGTTTCAACAGCACAAAGTCAGCTTCGACTATCAAGGCACCCCGAAAAGAGTGGATCACAAGAGTGTGACAAACATACAAAAGAAGTAGAGGAAAAATGCCGATAGTAAGGATTAGGAAAGAAAAAGCAGCAGTTCCCTGTTGTAGATCAGGCACTGCTATGAGCATGACATTGATGAATTAGCCCATTTACAATTCTATTGTGCATGAACAAGAAATGTCCCCCCTTTGGGAATGGCCTAAAGACACTTCAGTCAGTGGCACTGCCCTGGGAGGGTAATCAGTCTCTGAACTGTTGTAATACTGGTAAGAGTCACTTTTATGCTTAGTCCATTAGTCATTGTTTTGCTTCTGTTTTTCAGCCTCACAGTTACTTAGCGGGAATTAGAGTCATGGAGCATGTACCATTTAAACATAAGAGGACAACTCTTGAGAGAGCAGAAAAATTTATATCAGAGCATTATTTCACTGATATTAATCTACGTAACAGGTGAGACTTCAGAAAAATATTTGTAGTTCTTGTTACATAAAGCCCTTTTTGTTTTATTTATGTAAATTGTATCCAATTTATAGAGCTGTTGACTCTCCTCTTTCTTCTCCTTTCATCATGAATAAAAATTTGCATAAATCTGTAAATAAACAAATTTATATTTGGTTTACAATTTAGCACTAGGTGTGTTTTTATAATTTCAGTGAGAATGACAGAAGAATATTTTGTCCTGTGTCATAACATTTGTAATGGAATCAGGGGCTTGTCAGTTTTTGGTCATATGGAGTTATTGGTATCATATTAAAACTTGTTCATTTGTTTTGCTTTTGATGAAAAAAAACAACTATCTATCTTTTTAAAAAAGTTGAGATATTTACAGTTAAAGGTGTGGGGATCGTCTCGTGTCTGAGGTAAAATTAGAAAGAAAAGGCCACCTATTTTTCTTGTGTAATCAAATTAAAACTTGACTATCACAGATAATTCCTCCATCATCATCAACTTTGCCTTTCTCACCCTACACCAGGGTACAGGCCATGAACAAACACTTTCCACCTTTCTCGATCCTAGACTAGCCTCTTGATGTTATTCCTTGTCTTCCCACTTTTATGTACGTCAGTTTCTGTGATTCTTCTCCTGGTTCTTCACGGTCTTCCCTTTGGTCTTTTACCCTGTGGATTCCAGTCCAACACTTTGTTTGTTATGCAGATGCCACATTTCCTGAGAGTATGTCTAATCCATCGCCACCACCTTCTTCCTACCTCATCTCTGACAAATCCCTCCATGAAATGGATAAATATGGTGTTCATTGATTATGCAATTATCTCAGTAGTTGGTGCTCAAATATCAAAAACCAAATGTGTCAACTGCAGGGTCTGCTGTTTTCAGTGACTTTTTCAATGCTTCAATTTTTCCTTTGTGAGCAGAGTCTATCCAGCTAAAGCCCCGCTAAAGGAATTGAAACACTGTGCTGTTCAGGACCGAATCCCATACCGGGATGTGTTAAATGGAAAATACTCATTCAGCCCATGTGCTGTTGGAGACAGCTTTGGACCTGTGTGAGTAACTGACTGTTTGTTATGGGAACATAATATTATGATGCTGCTGTTTTCTGTCCTCAAAGAACAGTTTAAGTGCTTTGGCGATTTCTCAATATTAACATGCAAACAGTTTTTTAAAATTTTCACTGTTGTGCTTACAACATTTTTACTACTAAAATAATTGAAGGGTGTAAAGACTAAAAATGGTTTTTATACATGTATAAAATGCTGACTTGTTGTTTATGAATCAAAGAGCATTTTCCAGCAATTTCTTTGTTTTATTCTGCCTTATGTAGACGTCCACATATTATTTGTAGGTTAAATATAAGCAAAATATGTTGAAAAGAATGTGAAGTGGAATACTCTCTATCAGGAGATCTTAAGTTCCATTCCCTGCCATGTTGTAGTTTTTTTTATGGGTTGTGGGCATTAAACAGAGACAAAAATGTCTTTACTATCCAAAAAAAAATAAAGGACTCCACATGACCCTGCTTTTCAAGGTGAGTAAAAAATATTGGAATTTCACACTTTTGTTTTGCCAGCGACGATGTGTGTGAATATACTATGATAGCCCTCTGTATCTTCCAGGTGAATATGATGGAGGAATAAATATGAATAGACTGACCATTGGAGTTATGCAGAAGTGTTGTGAACCTTAAGACGGAAAGTGTACTTAACTGTAAAAGGCAACTGTGACTGCACAATGTGACGAAATGGGTTGTTGTTGTAGTTGCATTTGTTGTTGTTGTTATCAATCCGGCAACAGACGAAATGGGTAGTACGTAACATTCAGCTGTATAGAGAGATAAGTCAAAATCTTGATTTTCTCGTGACTCTATGTTTGTAACTTCCCAACTTACTGTAATTCTGGTATCAGAGCAACTAGGCGGATACTGTTTTCACTTACTTGAAGGGACACGTAATTAAAAATCCATAGTGTTATATTGTCAAAATGTGACATGCGATTTGTTTATTTTTATGTTCCTTAATTGAACAGATGGAGTACCCATTGGTTTGCCCTGACCATCAGCATTCCTCCAGCCTGGAAGGGCAAGGAAGTCCATTTGTTGTGGAACTCTTTAAGTGAAGCTCTTGTGTTTGTTCAGGGAGAGCCTATGCAGGTTGGTGTTGATTAAGCTGTGGAAGATTTTAAACATAACATACACATACATGCAAGCATGCACACATGATTGCACACAACCACACATGCACACACACATGCACGCGCACGCACACACACACACACACACACACACACACACACACACACACACACACACACATGTTTATACATGCATACCTGCCCCTGCTTGTGCACAATGTTATAACTAAATAAACTAAAACCGACCAAAATATTTCAGTAAGTAAGCACTTTTATACTCATCAACATATCCTTTTAAAAAATGTGTGTAGTCAAAATAATGAACTTGAAAAAAACTGCATTTTAAAGCCGTTGTGGCAATTTTTTAAAAACTTTTTTTTGGGGGGTAAACATCTTATATGTCCATTTACAGACACGGTTCTGGTTGGGGGGATTTTACTTTAGAAAAATTATTGAAGGCACAGAAAATGTATTTTACCTCTGAAACCATCTCTTTCAATCACAAATATCTCAAGTTCTATAAAAGATACATGGGTATTCTTTTCATCAAAAGCAAGACAAATGAACAAGTTTAAAGATAATACCAGTAACTCCTTATGGCAAAAAATTGACGAGCACTTGATTCCACTGTTTCACAAGTCAATCTTTTTTTTACAAGTTTTATTCTATGCCATCTCCTCAGGGTCTAAGTGGTGACAATGGAAGGACAAGTTTCCCTCTGTGTTCCTGTGCCACAGAACTTGAGTAAGTCCTTTGTTTATGATGTTTTAAATATGTCAGTTTAATTTTATTTGTGAATCTACTGTCCTGGTGGACTTGGTGTCTGTGGAGTAGTAGTAAGGTGCTTCACCATAAAATGCAAAAGACCTGAGTTTGATTCCCATGTTGAGAGAGTTTTTATTGTGTATCTTAGTCTTTCTGCAGAGACGTTATATCCCTCTCAGCGCGAGTTGGACCTGGCAAGCAGGGTCAAAGACCGCCTCTTAAATTACCTAAATTATGGTGATGGGGGGGGGGGGCATTGAAAAATACCTACATTGAAAAATGAAAGCATTTGTCCCACTAGAATGGGATGGGGTATTGGTTTGAACTTTCAGCAAGCCTGTACAGAAAGTTACGGTTAAAATTATTTGTGTCCATGACGGTTAAATCAGTGGAATAATGCTTCAAGTTTTTGCAATGAATACAAAAGTTCAGTTGTCATCTTTGGAAGATATTCTACCAAATCTCCATCTTTCTGTTTAGATTTTGTATTTGAATGTAGCAGCCGTATCCTTTTTCTTGTGGTTGAAGGTGGGTGGGATGGTGGAGTTGAATCAGCTTACTACCTATGTGATTGATGTCATGTCAGTAGAGGTGTAAAATATTTGCAATCTACTTTGAAAGGTGCTTAAATTATGAGGTTATTAGTGAGCCCTGGCTCAATGCATTACATGGTTATAAATCTGTTTATTAATAAACAAAAGTACTTGTTGGACATTAATTAGAACGAATATTTACCACAAAGAGATATATGCAATGTTTGCTCTATGTTTCTCAAAATGTACACCCTCACCTATTTCTGGGCTGTGAAGATAAACTTAAAACTTTGAATAGATTGATAAACTAAAATTGTGAAGAGCAAAATCTTTTCATTTTATCTCTCTTTGTCTGTCGGACAGGTTCACTATTTACTTAGAGATGGTTTGTAACACTCGGTTTGGAATTGGCTGTGGGGCCACCCAGCGGGAAGAAGATGCCAACAAACTGTACACGATCTCCCAGGCAGAGATTGGACTTTTTGACAGAGACATTCATGAGCTAATACTTGACGTGGAAGTTTTGCATGATATTGCGAAGGTTTGTTCAGGTGTTTTTGTTTAATCAGCTATTTTTACATGGCTGTGCTATAGGTTGATGTTATTTGTTTTTTGGTCGGATGACTGAGCTTTTAAGAGGTCATGTCTTGTGGGTGGAAAACATGTATACATTTATCTCATTTCTCCTGTTAATCATTGTAATCAGCTGTCAGCATCTTTTTCGTACTGAAATTCTCTCTAAGAACGGATCCTGTGCACTGTAATTTTTTTTTTGTACCTTGAAAATCCAGCAAAATGAGATCTGGTTCATTGGGCCTGGTTTATGCCTTGAAATAACTTTTTTTTAGCAGGGGCTAAATTTAGTGAAAATGAATATAACCGTAAGACTTTGAAGTGATTGTTATTAGCATTAGCTATAAAATTGATCAATTTATATTGCTATATATATATATGCATTCATTATATGTGCACCAACATTGATTGATTTTCAGCCCATAAACTTGTGACATATTCCTTTATGATTCTTGTCCTTTTACTTCTACTGTCTGTAGATATGCTTTTCATTGCTTTTAATGACTATTATCTTTTCGGAGTATTTGTCTTTTACTATAGATTTGACCGTATTTTTCACTTTTTTTTTTAGGAACTTCCTGACACAAATCAGAGAGGCTTCCAAGCTCTGTACACTGTCAACAACATGATCAATACCATAGACTTTGAGGACAGGAGTACTTTGGAAGTGTAGGTTGTTCAGATTACACAAGGTTACTATAGATTAGTGCTGCTACCATAATGACAGTAGATGGTACTACCTGCAGCTGTTCCTACTGCTTTGTAGGTGCATATGGGAGTATGAAAGGTTATGGGGGTAAACCCTAAACAAATCCGGAGGGAGGGCCCCTAAGGCAGTCGACAGGGAGGAACGATCCGAACTATCTTCTGGCAGCCCCTGCATCTTTACTGGTTCCAAATGTATTGACTTTGTCTCTCCTTTGGACTAAATCAGCTAAGTCAAGAGGGGGCTCGTGCAAATTGGGCAAGGCACGTTCTCCATATAATCAGGCCCAGGCATTTAGCTTAGTCAAGATTTCAAGATTTCTGGGAGGACGCTGCAAAAGAGCAAATACAGCGGATCAGACCCACAGCTACAACAGCATTTATATGATTATGGAGAGGACACTTCATCCTTGAGGTGACGAGCAAGGGAAAAAACAGGGGAGGTGGCAGTTTACGGGTTATAAGACATCCTTATTTGGCGAAACAGGATGTTGCCACGGGTCACCTTTGACGATGGGAGTGACTATTCAGTCGCACTGATCAGCTACGCCCGTCTCAAACTGGGCAGCCCCCAGTCAGTAAGGTGCTGATCCGCCACGTCTGTTTGCTTCTATGGGTGTATGGAGCTAGGACAAAAACTGAAAGGCAGACGTTAAATCCAGCACCAGGTAAAAAAAAGAGTAAAACTAACCCCATGGAAACTGGGGACCTGAAATGTTAGAACAATGACAACCGGATTGGACACTACAAACCTGGAGAAAACAGAGGACATCAGAAAGACAGCAATCATAGACAGGGAGCTCACACAACTCAATGTAGACATCACTGCCCTGCAAGAGACTTGCTAACTCTGGTACCTTCAGGGAAAGAAACTACACATTCTTCTGGAAGGGACTTGGGGAAGATGAGAGGAGAATCCATGGTGTGGGCTTTGCAGTACTCAACAGATTGCTGAACAGGATCAGCACCCCCCAAGGTATATCTGAACATATCACTGTCATGGAAATGGAAACCAAAACTGGAAAGGCTCACTTTATCACGCCCCAACCCTAATAACAGAAAATGAGAAAAAAGACTAGTTTTACGAGGAACTTCAGGATGCAATCAACAACGTCCCAAAAGCAGACCAACTGTTTCTAATGGGCGACTTCAATGCAAGAGTAGGTACTGAAAATAAAGTATGGCCCACCTGCCTTGGACCGTTTGGGCTGGGAAAAATCAACGAGAATGGACAGAGACTCTTGGAATTCTGCACAAATAACAACCTTTGCATCACTAACACCTTCCACAATGGCAAGGACAGACACAAGGTTTCTTGGTGCCATCCAAGATCAGGCCATTGGCACCAAATTGACTTCATCATCGTCAGAAAGAAAGATGCCAACATGGTAAAGCAAACAAGATCCTTCTACAGTGCAGACTGCAACACAGACCACCTTTTAGTTATAGTTAAGGCAAAGATAGTCACAAAGAAAGCGCCAAGAGCTGAAAAACAAAAGAAACCTAAGATCAACATAAAAAATACCAAAGACCCAGCGTTAAAGGCAAAATTTCAAGAACATGTTGAAGAAGAGCTCCAACATCTAGATAGCTCATCCCCAGACAACATGTGAAATAGCATGAGATCAACAATTTATAATTCTGCGTCGATTACTTTTGGAATAGAAAGACCTTGCAAGGAGGACTGGGTTGAAGCCAGTGCATCAACACTCGCACCACTACTCGAGAAAAAGTGTAAGATCCTGATAGAACACAACACAAATCCAACAGAGAGTACAAAGCAACAACTACGTGCCGCTAAATCCAACCTTCAAAGAGAAACCAGAAAGTGTGCCAATCAGTACTGGGACAACTTATGCTCAGAAATCCAACAGGCCAGCGATACAGGTAATATCAGGAAAATGTATGAAAACACCAGAGTTGTTATTGGACCAACAGCAAACAAAGTGGCACCTCTAAAGTCTGCGACTGGTGAACAGCTGACAGACAAGAAGAAACAAATGGAAAGATGGGTGGAACATTATTCAGACTTATACTCAAAGGAACGACATGTTGATAGACAGCTGCCTGAGGCCATTCCTCAGCTCTCCGAAATGTCAACACGAACAGAAGAAAAACTCTCCTCTGCAATCGATGAACTCGCTTGCAGGAAAGCAGCAGGAAATGACAACATACCTGCTGAAGTGCTGAAAGAGAACAAAGAGACCCTCCTCCCATATCTCTACAAGCTACTAACGACTTGTTGGCTGAAAGCAGAAATTCCACATGACATGAGAGATGCCAAAATCACCACACTCTACAAAAACAAAGGGGACAAAGGAAATTGCATCAACTACAGAGGTATCTCACTGCTAAGCATCACTGGAAAAGCTTTCGCTAGGACCATCCTGAAGCGACTTCCGAAACTAGCAGAAAGAGTCCTACCAGAGAGCCAATGCGGTTTCAGATCAAACCGCTCAACAATGGACATGATCTTTTCTATTCGTCAGCTACAAGAAAAATGCAGGGAGCAACAACTGCCATTACATACTGCGTTCATCGATCTGACAAAGGCTTTTGATACAGTCGGTAGATCAGGACTGTACATGGTGCTTGGAAAAATTGGTTGTCCCCCAATACTGCTACAGCTCATCATCTCATTCCACGAAGATATGAAGGCCACCATTCAGTTTGAAGGTTCAACATCAAACAGTTTCAACATCAATAGCGAAGTAAAGCAAGGTTGTGTCTTAGCACCAACCCTTTTTAGCACTTATTTTGCTGTCTTACTGCAACACGCATATAAAGAGTCACCACGGGATGTCTTCCTCCACTGGAGAACTGATGGGTCGCTCTTCAATCTTGCTCGACTCAAGGCCAAGACCAAGATCAACAAAACAACAGTACGAAACCTTCTCTTCGCCGATGATGCTGCTCTTGTTGCTCACAGTGAATCAATCCTTCAAACAATGATGGACCGCCTATCAACAGCATGCAAGGTCTTTAGCTTGGTCATCAGTGTTAAGAAAACAGTCATCCTTACTCAAGAAGGTGCAGAGCAGAGCCATATATGGCTGAACGACTAGGAACTTGGGACAGTGGACAAGTTCTGGTACCTGGGGTCTACCATCAGCTCTACTACATCACTTGATTATGAGATCAACACCAGGATAGGGAAAGCAGCAGCAACTTTTGGAAGGCTGACAAAACGAGCATGGGAAAACAAAAGATTAACCATCAAAACAAAGATCAAGATTTACGAAGCATGTGTCCTCAGCACACTCCTTTATGGATCTGGAACATGGACCTTGTACAGCAGACAAGAAAAGCGCCTCGACATTTTCCATCTCAGATGCTGCCGCAAGATCTTAGGCATTTCGTGGCGTGAAAAGTTAGACCTGCATGTTTGCCGACAATCGTCTGAAATCCGACAATCGCGACGCGACCCGCGAGGCGGCCGATGCTATCGCTAGGCCCACCTGTATCAGTCAATGTGCGAAGTGCGAGGCCTGGCCGACTGCCAGCGTCCCCATTTTCTCCCGTCGGCTTTTCAGCATTTTCGTTTTCGTGCCGACTGCCAACGTCTGCGTTTCCGACATAATTGTCGGAACCTGAGTAGAAATGCGAATACCAAAAAGGACGACGACCTAAATTATCTACTTTCAGTTTCGTGCTCGAGCAGCCATTTTGAATATCGTTTTGTTGACAAATTCAGTTGTTCAGATCGTTTGGATTCATTCCAGTCTGACTCACTTAGATAATAGAATCTAGAAAATCAAGATCTAGATTTATACAGATCATTATAGACCTCAATGGAGGATTCATATTCCAATTCTATTTTGTCAAACCCTGTCATAGGTTGTGCTGTAATATTAATGTTGGTAAAAAAACATTTCATCAGGTGCGTGAATTATTTATTTATTTAGAATCTAGATCTAGATATCTAGACCTAGTTAGACTCAGCTGAGCCCCTCTGTTCGGAATCGGATGCGGATTTCTAGTTCAAGGCCTATTCCTAGATCCTATTCACTTGTTCTACAAGATCTAGATTTAGATTTATTTAGTTTACTAGATCTATATATGGAGGATTCATATTCCAATTCTAGAATCTATTATTGTGTTATTGCATCAAACCCTATTATTATAGATCTAGCAATATGTAGATGTAGGCCGTTATGCTCACTGTAAGCCTTGTTTGTTTTGGAGTGTGGTTTTTTAATTTTAAAAATGTATTTCATTTTGGATTTTTGCTGGCCTTTTCACATGAGGCTCGTTGCAGGTTCTTTGTTGGGGTAGGCCTAGGGGTAGGGTTAGGTCTCTTCTTTGTTGTGTTTGTTGGGGTGGTCGCTCGTTACTCGGAAGTCCTTCCTTATGACACCCACAAAATTTTCAGACAATCTGGTTGAGGCTCACATGCAGGTCTAGAAAAGGTTACAAATGTTGAAGTGTTGGCATGCGCATCCTGTGTTTAAAAAGATTGCGGTGGCTGGGCCATGTCAAGAGAGTGGACGACAACCGGATTCCGAAGCAACTTCTCTATGGAAAACTTGCTTAGGGAAAGAGACCAAGACGGAGACCAAAATTGAGGTACAAAGACACCTGCAAAAACAGCCTATCTAAGCTTGGAGTAGATGTTAGCATCTGGGAAGAAATAGCTGAAGACAGGAAAACATGGAGGAAAACGATAAAGGAAAGAACTATAATGCTAGAGAGCAGCTTTAGAAACAACCAGGCTGAGAAGCGCCAACGACGAAAGGAAAACAGCGGAAATACAGAGCTTCGATCTACGACACTGACATGCAAGCACTGCGACAGAATCTGCACTTCAAACATAGGAAGAATTAGCCATGAAAGAAGCTACATGAAGAAAGCCTTGAGACCATCTTAAGCTAAATTGACCGTCTGCATAGACGAAAAGAGCCATATATTACTATAGAATAAGAACAATATTCGTGTGTTCTCAATAAGTGTTGAGGCCTTTTACT